ATGTCCAACGAACACGACAACTGGGGTCGGGTCATGGATAAACAAATACCTCACGGCCTGTGCAAGGGATGTACCTTCCAAATGGTATGATCTCAAATTTTGTCAACTGGAAGCCCTAGAAGGCCACCCATGAATGTTATCATTATCGTGTGCCAATATCACATATAGGTCATATAAGCTTTTGGTTTTTCAAGAATGCGCTTTGGAATATCTGCTGGTTTGGGTTGGGCAAGGTTGATCGCCAAACGTTCTACCCTCATCAACCAGCTTCCAATTACTTTTTCCCGGTCCTGGACCACCCACCGGGTCACCGATGGACTATTTAATTCTATCCTCTCTCACTCTGCACACATATATTTATATATGCTTGTGGATGCTTGGATACTTGTGGAATCTTACGGATCCCAAGTGGCCCATATGGCTTTCTTGGGAAACCATTGGATGGTCGTCTTCATACTGGACATGTCCAGTCTTCGTCCTTGCCAAGGTTCTTCTTCTGGGCCTGAGTTTCTTCTTCCTCCTCGTCAGACATGCTGTCCCCTGGCGCATGCACAGGTAATTGCGGACTCCAACCGAGCAGGTCACGCTTACCCCTTCAGATCCCTTCAGCCTGTAAGACCTTGACAAAATTGGCTTACGTACTTTCTGATTGCTGCATTTGTCTACCAACATGCTGTATATACACAAAGCAGCCTTGAGTTCGCGAGAAAAAAACACACACCAAATCGTCCAAATCACCCAAAAGCAAAAAGACCATTGACACTGACACAATGGTCTTGATCTGCTTAATCAGTGGTGTTTTTTCAGCCTAGAAAGCAGAAGAATCTCAAACAGGCCGAGATGGGCCGATCTGAGCTTCGCGAGCTGCTTGGGGTGATCGAAAATTGGCGCTTGAGCCCAGTGACGCGTCTGCGAGGCCCGGAGGCCGTGTCCGCTGGCCCAGGCACAAGCTGTTGACGAATCAACTCGACGAAACAAAAAAATATCATGAAAAAGGTGGGGAATGCACCCTCCCTCACAGGTCTTCATGGAAGCTGGTTCTAAGGGATTCAGGGCAGTCTTCCAGGTTCTGACCGGTCTGGGAGCCTGAGAGGGTGTGCACATGTCCTTTGCATATTTGGGACCTATATCCGGTCCCAAGCGGAACAAAAAAGAGAAGGGACTGCCTCTTGGAAGGGTTCTGACTGATCTGGAGAATGAATTTGGTTCACATCAGATTATCGGAGATCCACAGAACGGAAAAGAAGTGCAACCTTGGCGTACTTGGCGATTGGGGGTATATACTTGGTGCATCTCTGGGGGCCTCTCAAAAACTCCCACCAAACATCCAAACATCCCCACCAACGGCCCCACCAACGAGATCTCTGTTCGGAACTGTTCGGAACCAACGGGCGCCTGCGGCGAAAGTGCCAAGTCCACTGCTCTGGCTCCCTCCTTGGACCTGGAAGGATCGCATGGCGAACCTGGGGAAGCTTCTGGTCAATCAATCAGGTACATTTCTGATGGTCGGAATTGGAATCTCTTTCATGATTTCGGCCTGAAATTATAATTAACTTAAGAACTTATGATGACATGAGGTGTTTGTCTTGATGGTGTTGCTGCAGAATTCCATCGCCCCCGAGTGAACATGGCCATGGACTCGAAGGGGAATCAAGAAAGGATGAACTAACATGGGTGAAGAGTGACACAGTTGCGCCAGCTATGATGAACTCTTGAAGCAATGAAGAACGCAAAGCAGTGCAGGTCAGCCTTTCGGGGGAAAAACCAACTCGGTGAGAGGAGCAGTGTGTGCTGCTCGTGAGGAGCAGTGAGGAGTTGCTCGTGCTGCACGTGCAGCGAGCCTGGGGATCTCCTCGGCCGTGCGGTGACCAAACCCAGAACACCACCGCCCTTGAGAAAGGCAATGTAATAAATTGACCTTCAGCGAGGCTTGGATTAGATGGGGAATTTTCGGGTGGCCAAAGGACTCTCTGAGAGTGAAGTTTCCCTCATTCCCAACTGAGCAAATTAAGAACCCCCTCCGATGAAAGTAACTGTTAACTCGCCGTTTTCCAGGTGTTCTCGGAGAGTGCGAGCGTTGGAGGCTGAAAGGTCATCGAAGATCCATGGGAAATGCCTTAGGAAAAGCCTGTCTCTTCTGGGAGAACTTGGCAGCACGCTGAGAACCCTGAGGAATTGGCCGCGGCCAAAAAACAGCCAAACCTCACAGGAACTAAACACGGCGTGGATCCAGCAATCAGGAGACAGCACCCTGCCGGACCAACAAAACGCGTTAAAATCAAACAAACAACAAACATGAACTCATATAATATCATATATACATAATCATACTGTCACCCTAGTGTAAGGAAGCTACTAGTAGCAAGGCACCTTACTACTAACAAGAAGCTACTAGTAGCTCCTGGCATTGCTACACCCGTTTCACGTTCGCCTTTCTGTTCTTGCGGACCTCTTCGGACCGCTCCCGAGCTCCAGTGGCTCTCCACCGCGCCTGGGCGCTCCGCTGAGCGACCGCCTTCTCAGTCCGTCCCACCTGACGGACGGTCCGCTGGCGGTCCGTGGTGTTCAGCGTTCGTTGGTTCCGGTCCTCAAGCAGTTCCATAGTTTTTGTTGGCATGTGTCTTCACCCACGATCGACCACCGGAAAATCATGGATGGTTTTGAAACCATCACATCTTTTGTTCGAATATTTCGGGCAAGTGGCACGAATTTGTGGGTTGCTGCATTTTCTCCGGGCGTGGGAGTGCATTCTCAACTGGGGGGGCGCCACTGCTTTCTGACCATTTCATGTAGAGCAAGCTGCACTGATCTGCACTGGATTGCAGATTGCTAACATTTCTTTAAGCATTGCTATGCTTTGCTACTGATGCTAGTGAGCTGCTCGTGATAGTGGATGGAAATTGTCCACTCGCCCCCCCCCCAAACAAAAGGTGGCCGGAAACTACTGTTGATCTTGAGCTCGCAAAAAACTCACAAAACTCGCAAATCCCACATAGATCCTTCAAAAGTCTTCAACAAGGTACCCTGGCAAGCGAAAGCAGCTTTAGTACTTTAGTTACTTGTTCTAGCTGGTAGCATGTGGTAGCATGTTCTTCAAGCCCACCATGGCCCCCATGCTCGCCAAAAATGAACTCACATGAACCTAACACATGCTCCAGGACATGGTTCAACTGTCTCCAGTGTCAAACCCTTTTCATACCTCCAAGTTCTTTTCAACCCATAGAAACACGAAATGAACACATGCAATTCTCCAAATTCTCCAAACACATCACGGTCCCATCACACGACCGCAGGCGGAGGTCGCACCTGAGAAATGTGTGCCCGCACCAGCGGCTGCGTGGGGCTGGCCACGGCAAAGGCTTCCATCTTCTACCTGTGACGGGGCGGACCACGCAACCGCAATGGAACCAGCACCTGTCAAAGCACGTTGAACATCGTTGAACATTCTTTGCCGCATATGTTGAATATCTTATTCTTGTTCTGCAGATCTTTATGACACATTCTAAAGCTCCGTAAACTCAGTTGATTTGAGGCTATATACATCCTCCTGTTTAAAGAATCCAAGTATACTCTTAAAAGTGGATGGGTAGCGCATGCTTCGATGCCTCAATGAAAACGACAAACCACACTCACTGGTGTCCGGGACACTGCTACAGTACTCGTATAGCCCCGGACGTGCAAGTCTCAGAATCAAGCCATCAAATAGACTCAGCCCTCTGAGGACCCCCGACGGGGGTGTGTAAAAAAAGACAAAACTGCAGCAGAGGGACAGCTTTCAGCCACAATGCCTGCGGTTCCTGGATCTCTCTCTCTCTCTATCTCTATCTCTCTCTCTCTCTCTCTCCATCGCGGTTCCTGGATAGCCTGGTGTGATCTAACACAGGTCTGGCTCCAAAGTCCTGCGCTGAGGGGACCCCTTGTGGGCTGTGTCCAGAACGTTCAAGCTGCTTATGGAGGTGAGAGCCAAATCCTTCTGCTGTCCAAAAAAGAGGCTTCCTGGGTCACAACAGGCTGCCGCAACACCGACCCAGAACGAGGTCCCCGGCGAGGTCATGAAGGTGATTCGCACCTCCGACAAGTCCTGAAGGTTAATGTCCGTTTCTTTGCCGTTGGGGATGAGACCCAAGGGCTGGACCCAACGGTTGGCGGACGGTGCCAAAGGGCTGGAGCGGAAGTCAAGGCCCGCCGATCGATCGGATTTCGAGGGGGCAAATGGAGGTAGCACCGAAAGACCAAACACAAAAACAAAAACAACACATTATAGGGATTTATAGGGATTTATTAGGGCTTAGGGCTTCTCTCCATCCTCTTGAGCGCTTGATGGGGTGGCTGTGTGCGACGCTGGGGCCCAACGAACAGCTCGATGTTTTGTGAGGTTGATGCTCTACTGAATAGAGACTACAAAAAGTGTGCAAATTGGTGTTGGCTTGAACAAGATCCAAGAAACGCAACATCTGCAGTTAAGTTAAGCCACTGTGCAGTCTCAATGGCAATTAACATACAGCAACCCATCATCCAGCGTCCGGCGACCCCTGCAATTCTGGAAGCCATTTTACAACCATGGAGGAGGCATTCCCTCCGAGCAGTCAGTGGTGCGGCCTTCAAAATCTGGCAACTAAGACATTGATAAAGTTCAGAGTTGGGCCAACTTAGACACAGATCTGGTATTGCTGATTTGCGCCTAGGGCCTGAGCCATTGCTTTTGGCCATCCAGGGCGATATGGACGACATGTCGGTGAGCGGAAATGAGCCCGGGGGTCAAGGAACGCCCCTGGCGGAATGCCTGGGTCTTCCCTTCACGAACAGGATTGAGACCCCATGGCCCAGTGGCGAACAACTGCCGCTTGTCAAGGTGCTGTGCAAAAAGTCTTTGGAAAGACCCCAGCTTGAAGCCCCAAAGGAGGGGGTGCCCCCGAGCTAGTGCCCCCGACAGTCGATCCGGTTTTTGAATGTGTTATGATGTGTTTGTGGTCGATTCATGACAATCTTAGTGAAGTTCATGGCCGAAGAATCCTAAGTCTTGCCCAGCCCTGAAATCCACCTCACTGCTGATCGGAGACCTTTCCCTTCTCCCTCTGCCAACCTCGGAGCGTATCGTTGGGGAGCTAGCATCGGCCATAGCAACACTGCTAACAGCTCATCCATTTGATTGCAGTCTGTATATATAACTTACTGGTTGAGCTACAGGCCGTTCACCGAAAGGGTTCATGAATGTTGTTGCTGGAAATCGGTTTTAACCGGATGGCTTGCCAGATCTGTTCAAAAAAATCTGGCTCAATCCCATGAATCATCATCGCAAAAAAGAACACAAATCCTGGCAGCTTGCCCTGTCCTTCAAGAACCTATGCTAACCGTCAATAACCGATAAATCTGCAACAGAACATTGACATGCTTAGCCACACCTGAGGGACCAAGATTGGGTGGATCTGAGATGAACATGCGTGAAACAACATGCATTTCAAAGGTGTGCTAAGTGTCGACCCTTCTCTCCGCTAGATTTTTGGTGTTCTCAACTTGAAGGACACTGGATTTGTTGGTAACTCTCAAGGCATTTCATAAGGACACTACGATCGATTTCAGTGACCAAGCCTTCAACGACCTCACATGACCTTCCTCTTCCGAATAAGCTCGACAGGGCGAAGGTACCGAGTGCAGGACCCCCGCGGGTTTGTCTGATACTTCGTGAGATACTTGATTCATGACACTCTCGGCCTAATAAGAGATCATGCAACACCTCACCTCTGACTAACTAACTGACTGACTGGCTAAGTAAATGCATGGCTGCGCAGGGGAACATTATGGAAAATTTATTGACAATGGCAAAGCCCTACTCTGGGCAGATCATCCACTTCTTGCTTCAAGCGCAGCAAAAGGTATACAAATGTCGGGGTCAACTGAGACCAATCCTGTGCAAATTACAAACAAATACAAACAACACATCTGCCCTGGTCCAAGCTCGCTCCGGACCATCGCTCAGGTCCGACCTTATAAGCTCTTGATGGATGACCAGCCCTACAGGGTCATCAACCCACATCAACCCCACAACTCCGCCAGCAACTGGTTCTGATGTTTGTACACTCTTCGAAAAAACCAAGAACCCCACCGTTTCCCACCATCTCCAAAGTCCTGCCGGGTCCGCCCTGCCCGAATTGGGTTTCCCAGCGATGCTTCTTGGCCAAATTCATCAACTCTTCCAGGGGAACGCTCTTCGGTCGCTCGATGGGAAGCCCAATGGCCCTGGACCAAATGTACCTCAAACAGTGAAAAAAAGTCATGGACACCCGAGATTCGGGGGAGGCTTTGGATCTCGGAGAAGTATTCTACTGGTTTCAGAGTAGATGGCACCAACCCCAAAAATGTCCTTTATATTGGGGTCCATACAAACCACCTTTTGAGGATTGTGCCATCTACTCTGAAACCACTGTATTGGGATCGGACAAGTTGGAAGAAAACCATCCGCCGACCCCTGCTTCGCCCAAGCTCAGCGGGGCGGCGCCTAGCTTAACCGGGTGGAACGTTCGCCTGTGTCCAGGCCTCTGGCCGTGGCCCAGCCAACCTTGTTTTACTGGGTTTCGAACACCAGGCGAAGGACCTCCCATTCCAAATCATTGGATACAATTGATGCACTTCCTTCGGGTCGTTTCGGCGATTGTCTCGCCATCTGGATTGACAACAGTCATTTATGATTGGCCACAGAAATGTCATGGAGTCATGGAACGTGCCTCACAAGTCTAGAAATTTTCATCCTCAGCAAAGCACCGACCCCATTCTTGCACCATTCTTGCACCACTCTAACAAGCGACGGGGTGCCTAAGCAGCCTATGCCAAACCTGCCCAAGGGTTCAACAATGTTCAACGCAAGTGGGACATGGGAATCCGAAGCTGGTCATGTCGCATTCACAAGCTGCTGCATGCCATCCGGACCGTCAGGAGCCAAAACCCTCGAGCAAACCCGCGCTCAGCAGCCAACAAAAGACCCTACAAGGTCAAACCAATCCAGTGGACAAGTCGTCAAAAGCATCCCTGAACGCTTCATGCGTGTTGGGTCTGAGTTTTTTCGGCCCCGCACACCACCCACAACATCCAACCAAAACGACAAAAGCTTTCTTCTCACAGCTGAGATTGACTGAGCCATGACCCCAAGCGTTCGGGACACGGCAAACATCACCTCGGGACAGGTGCTTCACGGGGCGGCGAGGAGACGGGGCCTAGGGGCCTACCATTTCAGAAGATGCCATGGCACGGGTTCATCAAGGAGTCCCAACACCACGGGTGTGTAAAGGAATAAGCTAAGAAGTTCTAAGAAGCTCTTTCATTAGGCCCCATGAGTTCTAAAAGGTTTGGTTTGGCTCTGGGGGCAGTGTCAGCCATGGATTGTCCAATGCAAATCATGGCGTCTACCAAACTCCCGAGACTCATGCTTGAGACATAGTCTAGAAACAAATGTGGTCAATCAACTGTGCACAGCATTACTGACCCCTGATGAGCAAGAGAACATCAAAGACCCCATGTTCAGCAGAATGGTCTCTTAAGGATGCACAACCAGCATTGCTCATCACCGAAAGGCTGTGTAGAAGTTCTGCTCCTTGAGGTTGTAGAAATACCTGGACCGGGAGTCAAACGAACCTTTTGTGGGATCCCATGGTCACATTTAAGCCGATATGCATGGAACGAGTGCACATGCATCTTCAAACGCGTGTGTGTGTGTGTGTGTGAGTGTGTGTATGTACAAAATGTATATATCTACTTATATGTTTACACTTATACATGTATATGTATATGTGTATATAATTGTATATATATATATATAGCTACAGATGTATATATCCGCGTGTGTGATCATCTATCATTGTTCCTCTGGCGCGTCTCTTCCGGCATGTGTTTCCATTCTTTTTCCTCAGACTCCTGCAGGCCAGGCACATGAGCTGGCCACTGTGCGCATCGACGTTGGGGTACGGGTTCTTTACCTTTCCCTGCTTCAAAAGCACTGGAGGAATGGCGTGATAGCAAGCATCCACCAGCTGGAACAGGGGATCGTGGGTGCAATGAGTCAACGCAAACTCTCGTTCCTCAGCGGCGGTGGAACGAGTCAAAGGCACTGCCAAAGGGCATCTGCCCCATGCATCAGTGTGAGTTGCATTGAGGCTCCTGCAGCAATATTGTGCAATATTGTGGAATGCTGTCTGAACAGGCGGATCTAGAATCTCGAGCCCAAAAGTATGATTAACATAATACGCCCATAGAGAATCAATGAACATCATAGAACCATAGACTAGCAGTTTTTCCCCCTATGTGCAGTTAGAATGAATATGGTTTTACACAGAGCAGGGGGAAGATCGGAGACCACATGCAGTTAGAATATAAAGACACAACAAACCGAGTACTGTGAACAATCTTATCCAAAAAAACAAGCACGGTGATTTTGCGGCAAGTATATAAATGGAATGCAAACTGGTACTGTGTAGACATCGCTCTTAGGTTGGACGCCACCGCTCTTAGGTTGGAGGCCATTGCCATTACTATTAGGTTGGAGGCCATCGCTGTTGGGTTGGAGGCCATCGCTATTAGGTTTGGAGGCCTAGCTTTGTCTCTG